AAAAAATATTTTGAAAAAAGTAAATACTTTTCGAGATAATTAGTGTACCTACTTAAAAGAATCACCCTGTATTTAGCTTATAATTATCTATACATTTTTATGTAGGTATGCATCAATTTTACAGATTAGTCAATATAACACATTAATTATCTATTATTAATTTTAGTCCTATATATCATAAATAAAGAAAAAACAAAATATATAATTATAATATATTTTTTAATGTTTTACCCGTTTATAATAATCCTTTAATACATATTAGCCACTGACCACTCCACATTTTGGTACTTAATTTTATTTTATTTTTTTAAATATTATAATACTTATATAGGTTGAAATGTATCTTAATTAAAATGATCATTGTATGATTAAATGTACTTTAAGTGACGCATCTTTATGACTTTATGGCAATAAAGCACATTATTTATTGCATGTTTTAAATTGTAACATTTAATAATAGCAATATATGAAAATTATAATACTTAAGTATACAACATACATAGCTGGTAAGTAATATTCAAAATTAGATTAGGTATTTATGTTTGATATTAATTATTATTTAATATAAATCTTCATAGACTGCATAGACACATATATTAAATAGGACCTAGGTATATTTTTTCTTTTAGATTTATTAGCAAAACTAAAAATGTATTGATTTTGCTATGTTATACACAAGTCATTAAATATTAATTGTTACTATAGGTATCAACTATTTTTGTTCCACTCAAGCATTTAGTATTATTTTATACTAAAATCTTTACTCAAATTCTCTACAAAGATGCTAAAAGTATTAAAAAAATTTTAAAATTAATTACAGAATAACAAGGTCAACTCAGATTTATTTTTTTATACAATTTTTCATCATAGATTTTATAAAAACAATAGGTATTTATATTATTGGGTTTATTTATACTCAATGATATTAAACTATCAAAACCAAATACTTCAACTTCACATTATATATATTTTTTTTACATGAAAGTAAGGTTAAATAATTGTATTGTTTTCAAAGAAACTCTTTTTACTACATTTATAAAAAATGTTGATAAGCTCTTATTTATTTGAAACATGCGTGTGTGTTGTGAGAGATTTAGATTTGAGTTAATCCCTTATCCAGAGATAATTTTTAAGCCTTTTGTAAGAAATTAACATATATCATACCATATTGTGAAATTAAATTATTATATAATTTATTAAAAATATGTTTTAATTTTTATTGCACTTAATTTTATAATAGGTATACTTCTATAAAACATCAAACTTATAAGTGGTAKACAATCAAAATTTTTTTTATGTAAATAAAATTTACAAATTATTTATGAATCATAAAGACATAAAATTTAATATTTACTAACTAGCAATTTGTAACTAATGCAAACCGCAAGGAAGAAGTGTTGGTGTGTAATATTATCACAACACAGTTCTAGGAAATATTGGCCTTATCATTGGATCTTGAATAGCAGATTTTTCATGTACTTTAGTCATAAAATATCCATGTTGCAATACACCAATACGAACATCCATTTCCATAATATCTGACTTAATAGTGGCTATTGCTTTTTTTATATTGATTAGTGGTGCTATCATTGGATGTTAAAATTATTAATTAAAATGATTATATTGATATACAATCCTAAACTTACTTCCATCTGTCATGCTTGATCCTCTTTCGTCCATTTCTTGCTTAACAATATCTAATTGTTCAGTTATTTTTAATAATGTATCTTGTCGTTCTACAATACCATTACTTAAAAGCTTATAATGTTCAACAACTCGAGCTAGTTCATCCTAAATAATAATAAAAAAGGAACAATCATACTTTCAGTTTTTACAAATGAGCTATACTGATTATAAATATTTATGTTGAAACCTGAGAATTACGATATTCTATTAGAAGATTATCTAAAGAACTGTTTAAGTATTGTTCTCTACTATAAACTTTCTCCATAGTTTCTCCCAATGTACTACAAAGATTGGTCAAAAGAGGCTTGACTTTTTCTATAGATGCATTCATCATAAATTTGTGTTCCTTCATTTGTTTCAAACTTGTTCGCCAATCTTTGTAATCTAAGTAATTGTATTTAAAATAAATTAATCTAAATAAAAATTTCCCGATAGAAATTATAACTTTCTAAACAGATTTTTAATGAATTGCATAATTATTTGTTAAGAATGAATAAATACATTGGTGGATTCAATATTTATTATTATTGACATGTATTTGTAAGAAATATTTTAAACAAATATTAAAGGCTATTTTTAAAAATATAGTGTAAGAATTACAAAAATTAAAATATTAAAAATTAAAACCAACCAAAATTTAAATAGAATTACATTTATTATTTTTTTGCARCTAAAATCATCTATTTATTAAAATATAATTATCAGTTGCGTACCTAGCTTGATTGTTACTCGTAATGAAGGTAGTACTTGTTCTAATTCTAAGTTCCATTCTTCTTTGTTGGCAAAGGTAATTTTTAAATCCTCATTTGTTTTATTAGATGTTTGTCTTTTATTCTGGAATTCAACATTTTTATAGTAATTTATATTTAATTTGAATATTTATTATTCACTTTATTTAAAGTAGTCAAATCATTAATATTAAGCATATTTTCTTCATCGGAATCTGAGTCTGTCCAAACCATTTCTTCTTCAACATGTTCTAATAAAAGTTCTGCATTATTTTCGGGTAATTCTTCTATTTCTTCTTTTTCAACTGGAAATATCGGTCTAAAATTTAAAGTTGCTATTCAAATAATTTTTCATTTTAAAATATTATTTTATACTTCTTGTAGGGGAAATTATTTTTTTTTAATGCCAAATCTGCAAGCCCATTTAAAATTTCAATGACGTATTTTCCAAAACCTTGTTTTAATTGATTAATTGGAAAATCAATAGATAATTCCTAAAGAAATTAAATTTTTTATATTTTTATATAATTCATTACTGTACTTAGGTATGTATCTCATACTAATTGTGCAGACGATTCTAGTATACTATTAACTGTTGAATTTGGATCATCATATTCTTGCGGCTGTTTTAAATCTTTACCAAGTTTGCCTAATAGCCATACGGCTAAGGACACAAACATGTAAAACTGTTCTCCAGAACTAGTTTGTAAAGCAAAATAATGTCTAATACATTATAAATTTTATTAGTAATTATTTTATCAAAAATTAATGTAACTATTTATTTATTTACCTATTAATTGGTCTCATTTTTAATGATTTCACTACATAAGATTCATAATCTAACAGTATTAATCGATCGCATAGAATTTCCATATCAAGAAAATGTTGAATAGTTTCATTACGATTAGTTGATCGATTACGACTAGAATCTACTGACTGAGTATCCATGTTTACTATTTCAGTCCTATAAAAAATCACAAATAAATGTTATTATAATCTTAAATAATTAGTTGAATACATATTGAAATAAATATATAAATATAATTATATTTAGAGAGGAATTATTAAAATATAATTGCTAGCAATCATTTACATCCAGAAGTAAATAAAAACCAAATTAGACTTTAATAGATATTTTGTTTATTTCTATAAATCTTAAAATTTATATAAAATAGGTAGCTTTAGAAATTGCATGTCATAAATTTGAGATTTCTCAAGTAGATAGGTACATAATAAAACATAATTATTCAATTACAATGGTAAATTGACAATGAGTACTTATTTAAGTTAAATTGTTATGATTTCTTTTCACGCCCAAGCACCTGAGTAAAACACCAAAGTATAAACAAATAAAAATTATCTATAAGTTACTACTAAAACTCATATAATTAATTTATATGTTCATATGGACCTACAGAATTCAACTCAGGGCCTCAACCAAGTCATCAAACACTAGTCGTATCCAAACTTTTTAATTGAAATAACTCCAATAGATCATCAAAGTTTAGGATATGTCTGCATCAAATTATTTCATCAAGTACAACTCTCAGTCTCTATTCCATCTGTCCTAAGTGTTATAGGTATTTAATAAACAATTTTACTACTGTAATTGCACACTAATAAATCATTGAAATTTGAAATCTACTGGTAAACAAGCTATAACCTGCTAAGTTTCCTGATGACCCCTAAAGGTATATATAAAATGCAATTGGCGCCACAACTTGAAATTCAACTAAATACTGGTCAAAGTTTCATCAATGACAAGCTCCTCCAACAAGTAATTAATCATRATTCATGACTTCCAATCGTACTTCACACTAATTGTAAACTAACACCGAATATGTATTAAAAAATAAATAATGTGAAAATAATTACGACGCAAATTAAAACAAAAATACGTATTATGATATAAGTACCAAGTAATGACTACTGACTAGAGGAGAGAGGCTATTAGCCTGAAAGTAGAAATAGAAAAACTAAAAACTATAATCGTCTAAAAATGTCGCTGCCAAATGTATTCTGTATTCCCAAAGATTGGACAGTATTAACAGTTAATACAAAATATACACTGATTATGATATATATACGGTTATAATTATAGTTCTTATCAATTATCCTGTCCTATACTCCTGTATGAGTGTATGACGCATGCGTGTAGTAAAAATCAATACATTATCGATGTTATAATGCATACAATTATCGATTTTATTATGTTTAAAAAATGCGCACGCGCTAATTTTGTCATTCTGTAGAACTCAGAAACTATTGCAATTTTCAGTATCCCCATTCTATATACACTATTGTTTTTTTGAATATTTGCTCAATGAAAAATAATCTCTTATAGAGCTTAAACCAATATATAAACAGTGAAGCTTATAATATATTTTATTATAATATTAACTAATTATAGTTATTTATTTATTTATATAATATATACTATTTATAAATAATATATCTATATGTACAAATATAAGTGTTTAAAAACTTGTTATACACTGTAAGTCTGTAAACCAAGTGTTAAACTAAGTAAGTATTACTAGGAGTTTTATATGTAGACTTATATTATATGTATTAAGTATTAAGTATTTAAATGTAGGTATGGCAAACAAATCGAGCACATAGAATTTATGGGGTATAATGCATATTTTACTGTTTAGATAGGTAATAATAATGGTTGAAGAAATGGATACGACAGGTGGTGCTTTGAATAGCTTATTTTCATTTACGAGCCCATCTGTAAAAAAATTACTCGGGTGGAAACAAGGAGATGAAGAAGAGAAGTGGGCTGAGAAAGCTGTAGATGCACTAATGAAGAAGTTAAAAAAAACTAAAGGAGCCACTGAAGATTTACAAAAAGCTCTAAGTTCACCTGGACAACCAAGTAAATGTGTTACTATACCAAGAAGTCTAGATGGTCGATTGCAAGTAAGATCATAATATTTTATGTTTGTAAACTATTATAAACTTGTAATAAAAATAAAGCTTGTCATCTTACTATTTTAGGTATCTCACAGAAAAGGTTTACCTCATGTTATATACTGCAGAGTATGGCGATGGCCTGATCTTCAGTCACATCATGAGCTTAAAGCAGTGGACCACTGTCAATTTCCATTTTCTGCTAAACAAAAAGATGTTTGCATAAATCCATATCACTATCAAAGAGTTGAAAGTCCAGGTAAAATTTTGTAGTTCATATTATATTGTATTCATAATTTAATTATTAATAATTTTTTTGTTTTGTAGTTTTACCTCCAGTACTAGTTCCTCGTCAAAGTGAATATGCTCCACAGCAGACATTGCAGCAATATCAGCCACCAATTGATGTCGGAATGCCAATGAATGTATCAATGAACACTGRTGGATTCCCTGAAAGTGTATCAACTACTAATCAGACTACATCTAATGATCCCAATCAAATTCCATCAACAAATAACATTAATCCATTTTCAGATACATCTCTTATAGGTAGAATATTTTTGAAAAAATGTCAAATGGTCCCTTTCTTAATTTTTATATGTTCATATGCATATTACATTTTTCAGAAAATCCTTCATTTTCTCCAACAGATGATTCAAACAAAATTAATAATATTGACAAAAATACCAATWTAGAAGACCTCGACGGGATTCCAATAGTCTATCAAGTAAAATGTGTTATTTAATTATTACTTATTATTTAGAGATTAGGTATTCACATTAAACTATTAAAGTACAATAGGTTGTAATAATATAAAAGAGATCTATTATATTATCAAATATCTTCTCAATGTTTTAAAAATTTAAACATAAATAGATATTTATATGTTGGTAAATTGTTTGAGTATAATTGGCTATAAAAACAAATATATGGTTATTTTTTTTTTAAGTATATTTAAAAATACATGTTTTTTAAAACAATTCATCTTAATTCATATTTTTACCTAGAGTTACTTATTATTCTTAATAAATTAATGTGTAACTTTACATAGGTAAATGTAAAGTAGGTGACTACTGTATTTACCAAACAATACTAATAAAATCTTATATAAAATATATTTTACATAAGTATAAGAAAACCTATGATTATATAAAAAAAAAATAGAACATCTAGCACATCAAGAGTTTTTATTACTTTAATTGTTTATTATTAAAATGAATCAAGTCATTTAAATTTTAGAGTATTTTTATATTTTAAAGCTTTTAGACAGACTATATAATATTTATACTTTTTTTCCAGGAGCAACCTTGTTGGGCTAGCATCGCGTATTATGAACTCAATTCTAGAGTGGGTGAAGTTTACCAGTGTCATTCTCCTCATGTGATTGTGGATGGTTTTACAAACCCTAGAAATGATTTAAATCGTTTTTGTCTTGGTCAGTTATCTAATGTAAATCGTAATTCAACTATTGAAAATACTAGACGACATATAGGCAAAGGTATGAACATTATTATTTTTGTACCTAAGTCAAAATTAARTTTATCATAGTACTAGTAAAAATGTTTATTGCCTTTAGGTGTTCAACTGTATTATGTTGGTGGTGAAGTATTTGCTGAATGTTTATCTGACTCTGCTATATTTGTTCAATCACGTAATTGTAACCAGCACCATGGTTTTCATCCATCTACGGTATGTAAAATACCACCAGGTTGTTCATTGCGTATATTTAACAACCAAGAATTTGCTGGTCTTTTATCACAATCAGTGAATCATGGGTTTGAGGCAGTTTTTGAATTAACCAAAATGTGTACAATACGTATGTCATTTGTGAAAGGCTGGGGGGCTGACTATCATCGTCAAGATGTAACAAGTACACCATGTTGGATTGAAATACATTTACATGGACCTTTGCAATGGCTTGATAAGGTACTTACACAAATGGGAAAACCTCATGATGCCATAACATCACATTCTTAATATTAAGATTTATTTTTAAAATTCAACTTGACGATTCCTATAACCTGGTAAAAAATATTATTTCATAAAGTATATTTTTAAATACATTGTGAAACTATTTGATAAAAGGTTTAACTTGTAGATAAATATAAATATCATGTAGGTATATATTTTTTATATTATTTTATTTGTTTTAAAATATTTTTAGTAGATATAATTATGTGTGAAAATTGCTTCAAATCAGTATTAAATATAAAATGTTAAATCATATTTCATGTCTTATTTTTATAAATTACTTGACAGAAAAATGCAAGTTTAAATAAATATATTATATTTAAGTTTGTGCTTTATTAAATAACTGTAATTAGCCACTTTTTTGTGCGTGTAAAAATAAATCCTTGTTATGGTTGGAAAAATAAAGAAGCAGTAATGATGTACGAAAATATTTATTTACTTACCATCATATTTATAAATTCAAGCGAATGGCTACTATATGATTGAAACTTGAAAGTAAGACTTATAACAGTTAAACCATTAATAATTGAAGCTATTATTTATGAAATCCAAGAAAAAAATATTTTTTGATAAGATAATAATATTATACAATAGACGGAATAAAAATGTACAAACAAAAAATCCCCGAAACGAAGTAACGTTTCCTGATATTTCAACAATGTAAATATATTTAGATTTTAAGAATTTGAAATGATATCTATTGATGTATATGGTGTACTTATTGATAAAAATAAACAAAATTCAACTTAATTTTTATGGAATTATGAATATTGTTTCTACTGAATAATATTGTAATCTGARGATTTTTTTTTCTTAATTCTTCATGTGTACTTTTATTCATTTTTATTCAATATTATTTCAAAACATTTTGTTTTCTACTTACATAGATAATAACAATAATAGCTTTGGAYAATACACATAACATWCATTTTTACCACAAAATTCTGAAATTTACCACGAAATAAAAAAATGCTATAGCTTTTTCACAGTATTGCCCACAGTAATTTATCGAAAAGATGTGTCATAAAATTAAATTGTGTTTTGCTTTAAACCCATATAAATTTTTTTTTTTACATAATCTTAAAATTACATGATGTATTGTTATTTTTAGTGAGTATATAGTTGCAACAATCGATAAGCATCTAAAAATGTATTATTATTTGATAAAAATAACTTTGAAAAAAATTTCAAATATCTCTAAGCCTTAGTTATAGTGTTATGATAGATAMAATTGTTTAAGATGAAATATTTTAATGAGAAATTATTTAAAAAATTCTAATCGAACAAATCTATAATTTACAAAAATAAATAATAAAGTTTGAAGTTTAAAGATTCTAGCAATTCAACAAAATTTATAAATCTTATTTGAACTTAAAGTTTTGTAATAGTATCATTATTAGCTAAGGTAGGAGATATAAGACCTTCACTCATAATCTAAAATACACCAAATCAACCTTGACAAAAAAAAAAAACGTCATAATATTAATTTTCATAATTTATATTAAATTTCAAATYTTTAATTGAACATTAATAATAACACAGATTAAATAAAACTAAATTTTATTTAATCTTTGGTAGTATACTTCAAAAATAATACTTAAAATTACATAATTGTATGGATTTTTTTTAGTAAATTTAAAGTATGAACCGTAACATTAATGTTATAATATTGAAATCAATTTTGTACTTTAAAATGTTAAAATTAACTAAATAATAAAGTGTAAGATGGATAAACTTAAAGGGAAATTCAACAGTCATAAATCTGTTGAGATCTTTTTTTTTTTAACAGATAACATATTAATGTACTTATAGATTATATTTATAAATATAAAACTATTTAAATTATGTAGTTCCAATTAAAATTTTAAAAAAGTTACTTATCAAATAGCTATTTATAAGAATATGTACATAAATGAGTTTATTTTTAAAATATTATTAATTATTTATCAATTTTATGAATAATAATTATGTCTTGAACGGTCAGAACCCTCTCTATTAGAACTTCTTCCACGATTTTTACCACATTGTTCATCATACAAATTTTTGTTATCTTTTCTATTTAAACCTTCATTGCCTCGTTTGTAAGGGTGATAAGAATTATGCTGACGATTGTTGAATTCCATATTCTGAGGATTGTTGTACTTATGATTAATGGGCCTATTTTTCTCTCGTCTATAACTGCCATTGTAATTATTTGGAAATTCACTGTCAAATTCTTGAAAATCGTTATGTGATTGATCTTGGTTGTAATTTCGATCAGCATAATGATTTTGATGTTTAATATTTGAATCACCATAACGCTCAGAGTTGAAATTATTTTTATGAGGTTCTTTGTTTAAGAAACTACTACGGCTATGTGTGTTTTGCTCTGACCATCGGTGGTTATTAGAATCTGATTCATAATGCTGTTGTCCTTGATCCTCATACCTATTGATTTTATTATGATACATAGTATCTCTAAGATCTAATAGTGACGTACAACCAGCATTAGCATTCGTATCAATATGATAATTAGAATCTAAGCGATTACGTCTCCTAAACATAGTATCTCTTAAATCACGCACTAGCATATTATCTTTAGCACCACTTTTTCCATGGGCAAACAAAGGTTCCTGATTGTCATATGTACTATCTTTCCGACTAAATGATGTATTAACATTATCATGATGTTTACGTTTAGTATTGAGATTATGATGTGAATCCCGATCATAATTAAACACATCCATTGATCCAGAGCTGCTGTTGTGTTCAGACTTTTTATGTTTAAGACTATGTTGAGATTTATCGATTGGATAATGTTCACCGTTGTTTATTGAGTTATGACGTTTGGCATGAGGGGCATTATGTCTATATTTAGTWGAATTGTCCTTAGACCTACGTCTAGTCATATTATCTGATCTACGATCATAATTATCTTGATTTTTATTAAGACTATGTACTTCATGTTCATGCATAGGTGGTTCAGGCAGAGTTTCTGGAATTATGTTTTTCATATCTAATCTYTGATCAATCCATTTACTATCAGTAGGACTATTGTTTGGYTGACAATTTCGTTCAACATCGATTAGTTGTTTGAAATAGTCAAGTTGATCATTAAAAACTGGATCTTCAAAGTGTTTAGAGTAATTTTTTGTTATTATTGGTAGACCATGTAGCTCAGTGCCTTGAAATAATTTTATACTATCTTCCACAGAACTTGAATATTTGAACACAACCAGAGCAAAGTTTTCACGTATATCATGTCTGTCAAACGCAAAATCTACATACTCAATTGGCCCCACCTTTAAAAGTATGCAGAAAAAAACATAATTAATATTTAAGTATTTAATTAATCATAAATATTCTACAGTACAGAAATATAAATAACATATTGGTTGATAAATAGAAAAATAAAAAAATTAATACAATATTAAAAATAATATTGGAATATGTATTGGCATAGATTTAGKCTAGCCTTAAAATAAGATAACTATTACTCTAGGATACTCTTGTGGTTGGAAGTAGACAATCAACAAAAATTCTATTACCAACGACCTACCTAATATTTAATTTTCAGTCATAATATTGACCTTAAATCTTAGATATGATGGTCATAGATTTTACTTATTATTTTCAATTTTAAACAGTAAATTATCAATTTATTTATTTTTATAAAAAATAGAAAATTATATTTTTTTAAACCATTACACTTAAGTCATGAAAATTAAAACTACAAGTAACAATCATAAAAGAAATCATGTATACAACTTTATTCAATATTATGCAWGTGGAATTGTGTCCTGATTCCAACTACAGAGGTATTTAATAATGTCTTATTTTATATGATTAGTACAACTTTATAATATAGTTTATCTTACGACCAATACATTTACATTAAATCTTTATCCAATAATTGTTGAAAGATAAATCTTCAGTATGTTATATGTATTATAATTACCTGATAAAACAATTCAGCTACATCTCGGTTGGACAGTTTTGGATGAAGATTACCCACCCAAAGAGTTCTAACCCTTTTTTCAATTTCATCGTCATTTGTAAAATTATCTGCAGAATCCATCACAAGACAAAATTAATGTCCTGACATTAACTAAAAACRCTAATACAATGAAAAATTTGATTAGACATTGTACTCAATGTGAAATAAATATAATATGAACATTTAAATTTTATATGACTTACGAMTATTTAAATAGTTATCAGTTGATAATATATGAATCCAGATTCCAAAATCTATAAAATACAAGAAAGTATATTAAATATTAGTCATTATTGCACATGCAGTGAACTTGCGATGAAAGAATGATCAATGAGTTGATAAAAAATAAATTTAATTAATTTTAGTTTAGAAAACAAATGAAATAAAAAAAACCTTATCAAGTATCAGTTTTAGTAGATCATTAACAAATAATAAATGTTTGTTTTTGCAATGTCAATGCGATATACAGGCTGCTAGGCTGCAGTATCTGCCACCTGGGCATATGACTGGTTTACTACGTGTCGTTCGAAATTGAAAATAGACTGTTACAATAATCTGTATTCTGAATATAAAATGTAACTTGTAAGCACTTTAGTAGGAACAGAACAACGTTATACAAAAAACACTACAATAGTTTTACGTAGAGACGAATTTATTAAGATTATAGAGTATAGACTAATGTCAATTGTCAAGTACTTTGATTGTTGATTAATGATTAAGATATTATTATGAAATTATGGAACAGAAACTCGGTCAACTCGCTATCATCATAGAACAGTAGGATTGTTTTCAATTTCAGATTAGACTACTGGCGCACTCACAGTTTTCTATTGGCTAATAGTTACCCGCCAACTTTCAAACTCTAAAAATATATTTTATTAAAGAAGTATAAAAATGATTGGCCTAGACGAGTAAGGTACTAAGGTAACTTATGGTTTTATGTTCACATGCTTGGCTGTAGATAAATTTGAAAGGTTAGTAGTTAGTATGATTTTTGTCTTTTCATACTAGATATGCCACGATCAGTTTTTTTTAAATATACGTTCATCGACCATCGTTCAGCTAAGTATCTACACAAATATAGAATAACGTTGAATATGAACCAGGGTTTGCAAACGTTATAAATGTTCGGAAAACATTTTTAAATGCAATTTTTTTTTATTTAGAAAGACAATTTAAACACAATAATTAGTATTAATTACTATAAGCAAATTAGATAGAAAAAAAAAAAGTAACATGAATATCATGATGAGGAAGAAACTCAATGGTAACACCTCTTTTACTAATTTAATAAGTCTTTACACAATTTAAGCTTTAGTCTGCGTGGTGGATTTTTTTTTGGGGAGGATGAAGGTGGACATGTCACATGTGTGACATTAAAGTATTGCTATGCGTGCTTAAACTTTGGTGGAAACGTTTGTACATTGTTTTTCCTGGTTCAGAAGTCGTTGTTATTTTTAAGTCATTGTGTAAGGTTAAGTTTGAAACATACCATGGGGCTTTGGTTACCAACCTTAGCGCATTGATGGGAGAGCAGCGGCGAYGAATAACGCAATAATTGTAAAAGGTATAAATTATAAATATAAATAATACATTTGTATTGATTTGCGTGTTCCTATATTATATTTTAACAATTAATTCTTGATGTGTAATTTTTAAATAACTACCTGCTTATATAAAAATATTAATTTTGGCGCAAATGATAAGTCATTTTTGTACCTTTAGTGCTTCAAGTGCTTGTAATTTACAATTAGGTATCTTTTGTTTATATTACGTTCACACCACTACACCTGCAGTGTCATTCGATGACTATTTGAAGCGTAGCCAACGTGTAAGAAGTATGGTAATTTTGCCTAACGACGAATATCGTGTGTTAATTCATCGTTTGCATACATCAGTAATTCACAATGACACAATCAGTATCGCTATACGCCAATATTGTTACTATTGTAACGCGGTTCGGCCGGTTCGTTACGCTCACGTCATCACGAATAATGTAGTACCTATCTGCTGTTCATGTCTAACCACCGTCGTTTCAGTGCTAATTTTTTGCGCGTCTGTCCATCAAAGAAAACGCGTCGTCATATATTTTATATTTATATGATGCATAGTAGTCAATAGAAATCGCTCATGTCCGTATAGTGGCGTCTCCGAGATTATCAACATCTCCAGCC